GGGGGGGGGGGAACACATGGGAGTCTGGGTTCTCTCACTGCTCCAGGGGTCCCAGCTCTGTTCTGGGAGGGGAAGGGGAAGGGGGTAGGGAGCCCAGACACCTGGGTTATCTCCCTTACCTTGTTGTCCAGCTTCAGAGCCCGGAATTCCAGCCGCACAAGCTCATTGGTGCTGGAGACCTCTTCGACCTCGATCTGCGGGCGGACGAGGATGGACAGACCGAAGGGAGGAGGACGCCAAAGCTGTCCATTGCAACCCCATCCCAGAGGCAGGATAGAACCCAGGTATCTGGGCTCCCAGCCCTCCCTGCTCCAACTGGCCAGGCCCCGCTCTGTTTCCAGAGCCCACATGTCCAGGCCCACCAGACCCCACTTCCTTCCCAGACCTGGGGGAGAACCCAGGTATCAAGACTCTCCAGACCCTTTCCAGAGCTGGGATAGAACCCAGGCATCCGGGCCCCCAGGGCCAGGATAGAAACCAAGTGTCCTGGTCTTCAGTTGTGACCCACCACGGTCCGCAACTCTCCCAGGGCTGGGATAGAACCCAGGTGTCCAGGCCCCCCTCCCCGAGCAGGGCTACAACCCAGGCACCCGGGCCCCACTTCTGTACCACAATGGAGGCTTCCCCAGCGGCCTCGCCCGTGTCCAGCAGCAGCGGCAGGGTGACGTTCCTCTGGGAGACTATCTGTGGGTGGCGGTGGGGGGACATGGACAGATGGGTGCAGGCCCACAGGGGAGGGGAAGGGGAGTGAGGAGACAGACAAACAGAGTGGGGGGCATGGGACTGGGATCCTCCTTGAGCTGACATAACCCACCACAATGCAATGGAGTGCAACACGCCGCAACCCCATGCAACAACGCAACCCCAATCCAAGGGAAACCAATGCAACCCAACCCAATGGAATGGAGCACAGCACAATGAAACACAACCCCTCAAAAAGCAACACAATCCAATGGAGCCCAGTGCAACACAACCCAACCCAGTGAAGCCCAATGCAGTGCAACCCAACCCAACCCAATGGAAAGCAACCCAACCTCATACAGTGCAATGGTACCCAGTGCAACCTAGTGTGAGACACCACCACACAAATGCAACACAACCCATTGCAGTGGAACCCAACCCAATACAACCTAGCACAACACAATGGAACCAACACAATGCAACACAATCCAACACAATCTAATGTAATATAATGCAACACAAGCCAACACAACACAGTATAGTGGAACCCAACACAATGCATTGTGACAACACAACACAACCCATCCCAACGCAATGCAATAGAATCCAACCCAACCCAACCCAACTCAGTGCAACCCAACCCCACCCACTGCAACAGAACTGAACACAACTCAACCCAACCTGACCCAATGCAAGCAGCCCCCTACTCCTCACCCGCTGGGCCCTAGCCTGACCCTCCAACCCTCACCTGACCAAGGGTGCACTCAGCCACCCCCAAGGGGCCGCTGTCTTGGGACTCAGCCTCATTGATGACCTCAAAGAGCAGGGCCTGCATCTCCTCAAAGAAGTAGTCCAAGGAGAAGACATGAGCAAAGATGGGGTCCAGACTGGAGGCCAGCACCTCTGTGCGCTCCACCTGCAAAGGGAATGGAGATGGGGGCACAGGTGGGTGTTGGCCACAGGGGCAAGTCCTGGGATCCCCAGTTCCAGTGGGGGCAGATGGGAGAGGATGAGGTAACCGCACCCCCCCATGCTCCCTGTGGGGGTGGGAGGCCAAGGGGGTTCCCAGGGAAGGGGAGGGGAATGTGGGTACTGTGGGGACCCTGCGCTCCCCCCTACCTCAACCCACTGCCCCTCAGTGAGCATCTTCAGCACCACAAAGGCATCTGGCTTGGCCTCAGCGTCTGGGTCCAGCAGGTTCTGGCAGGACACACGGAGCTCGACCCGGGAGGCGCCCAGTGCCACTGGCTGGGACTGGATGGGATCTGTCATGGTGCCTGGAGGGCATGGGGGGAGGGAGAGAGGGGACATATGAGGCAGTTAGAGGGGGAAAGGGAAGAGGTGTAGGGTGAAGATGGAGAAATGGGGGCTATGGGGATAGACGGATGGTTAGGAATGACGAGCACAAGTAGAGCTGGGGGGAAGGGGGCTGTGGATCCCAAGTGAGGGACCCTGGGGGAGGGGGAGAGGCAGGGAGGCTGCAGGTCGGGAGTGAGGGGCACCAGCTGGGCAGATCCACCCAGGAGACCTTCCTGCCGCGTCAGCTTCTTCCTGAATTTCTGGCCTTGCTGTTTCTTGGCTCAGAGCTGGGAAAAGGCCTTAGGTCAGCGTCAGCACCAGGGACAGGGGAGCCCAGCACAGGTGGCTGCAAGTCCAGAGTGAGGGGCACTGCAGGGCTGGGGGCAGGGGCGTGCGGGTTCAGAATGAGGTGCACCAGCTGGGCTGGGGGGGCAGGGGGCTGCGAGTCGGGAGCGAGGGGCATCAGCAGGGCTGGGGGGTGGAAAGGAGAAAGCTCAGGAAAATACAACATAGTCCCAACACAACCTAAGGTTAACACAACAGTGCCACACACACACCTCAGCAAGGAGACACACAACCCCCCTCCAAGAGCAGCTGCTTTACAACACAGCTCAGAGCCCCTGCTACATAACAACGCAACACCGAAAGGACACACAAGTCCAAGAATACCAGACACACAACACAGTGCAACAGGGACACACACGCACAACCCCCAGGATCTGTCTGCAACACAATTCAACAGAGGACACACACACCAAGAGCACTCACTACATCACCACGCACACATGCTGAGTAAATGACAATACAGCCACACATACTCACCTCTGAAACTGTATGCTATACAACAACACAACACAGTTGGGTCACACATGAGTCTGCAAGTGCCATGTGCACAATACCAGATGGACACAACTCTTAATAGCGCTAGCTACACAACTCTGAAGGGACACACATGTTCGAGAAGGCAGGCACAAAATGCAATGGGGAGATGCACACACGTACCCCCCTTCAAAAGCACCTGCTACACAATCACATCTGCACACCTAGAAGTGCCAGGGCAGAATAGAACATGGACACACATGCACACCCAAGAGCACTCACCACATGACTGCAACCGTACACACACACCCACGCACGCACAGTGCCTGGTACACAACACAGCATGGCCATGCACTCTCTCTCCCCAAAAGTGCCTGCTACATAACCAGGCAGACAGACAGACATACAGGAACGCCAAGTCACAACACAATGCAACCCAACATGGACACCCCCCCCAAGACCACCTACTACCACAATACAGCTGGGACACACACGAATGCACCAGTGCCTGCTACACAACAGGATGCAACAGAGACGCACACACACCTAAGACTGCCTGCTACACAACCACACACACGAGTGCCTAGTATACAACACAACAAACACCCCAACAACATGCGTGCACACATGTGTGAGTGTCTGCAACACAGCCACACATGTGTGCACCCCCCCAGGAGTGCCAGGGCATGACACAACCCAACACAGCGCAGCAGGGACATACGCACCCCCAAGAGCACCTGCTACACAACAGGCATGCACCCCGTGCCCCACAATAAGCACCCACTAGACAACCACATGGACACGCACCCATCCACACCCACACACAGTGTCAGGTACACAACACAACAGGGTCAGACATACTCACCCGAAGAGCACCTGCTACACACACACACACACACACACGAGAGGCCGGACCCAACACAACCCAGCGGGGACACACAGATACACCCCCCAGGAGCGCCTGCTACACCACGCAACACACATGGACACAACACGGACACACGCGACTCCATGAGAGCCTAGTACACAACGCAACACAACGCAAAAGGGACCAACGCCCAAGAGCGCCCGCTACGCACTCCCCGCACACACACGCGCACACACCCCACGCGGGACCCGCAAGCTGCAGCTCCCGACCCGCACACGCGCTGCCGCAGCGGCCGCCCGCGGGAGGGACAGGGCCGGGCACACGCGCCGGGACCGCAGGGGTCCGGGATACACGCGCACGCACACACACACAAGCACACCCCAGGTGTCCAACATCCCCCTGTCCGCCAGAACCCAAGCATCCGACCACCCGCCCGCAACCCAGGTGTCACACACACACACACACACACACACACGTACCCACGCCCGATGCCGCTGCCCGCTGCCGCCGCGCTGCGCTGGCCCCGGCCCCGCCGCAGATAAGGGCCTGTCCGGGGGCGGGGCTTGCGGAGGCCCCGCCCCTCCGGGGACACCTCTGGGACACACAGCCCGCCGGGTGGGACACGCAATACAGCAGGGACACAGACACGCAGCAGACACACACCGCAAGGATGCAAGTGGGACACACACACCACCGGGCTGGAACGTGCCATATGCAACAGACACACAACTGGGGCGCACACCGCACAATTAGGGCATGCAATAACTCAGGGACACGCAACTGGGACACAAACACACACGGCACAGCTGGGGCACACACCACACATCCCACCAAGTGCTACAGACAATGCAGCAGGGACACACAACTGGGACATACAACTGGAGTACATACCACGCAACTGTGACACGCAATACAGAAGAAACATGCACATGCTATGCAACGGAGAGACACACAACGGAGTAGGGGCACACAACTGTGGCACACTCACAACACCGAAGCAGACACACACAGACTGGGAGGCACCCCACCCACACCCCACACACAGACACCCTGCACATTGCCACGAGGGGACACATCACACACCACACAACTTGGACACACTGCAGCAGCACACACATACCCCCCAGCTGAGACACACAACACACAGCAAGTACATGTAACTGAGACAGACCTTGCAAGACACAACTGGTACACAACCAACAGTAGGGACACACACACAGAACAATACTGACACACAACTTGGACACACACAACTGGGCACACAGTATATCAGGGACACAGCTGGGACATTCCCACCTTACAACAAGCACATATACACACCATACAACTGGGACACAGCACACACTGCAGGGACATACACCTGGGCCACACAATAAAGCAGCAGAGGCCCCACAACACAACTACCACAACAGATGCACAACTCAGGAATGTGACACCCCCTGCAATGACACACAAGCACACAGTACACAACATGCATATGCATACACACATACACATACACATGTGCACACACACCTGGCAAAGTACCACACATCTGCCACAGCCACGTGACAGTATGCACCCCCCTGCTGCCTTACAATGGGGACACACACACACCATACAGCTGGGACACACCCAACACAGTACAACTGAGATGCACACAATGCTACAGCTGGGACCCCGCCCCCCCACACGCATACACAGCTTGGGCACACAACAGGCAACAGCATGCACACACCACACATCCTACAGCACACCCCCCGCCCTGAATAGGGGCACACAGCTAAGATATACAACTGGGACACAGCGCCCTGCAGACACACACCAAACAATGGCAGAGGCATACATTCTAGCAGGGACACACAACAGCAGAGAAACTCACACACAACACTGCAGAGAGCTACAACGGGGACACCCCGCCCCCCCCCCCCCCCCCCACCCACAGCTACACAAATGACAGCAGACACACAACATACACCATGTACAACTGATACACCCCCCCAACAGCTTGCTACCTGGCCATACAACACAATCGCCACAACAGATACAAAACGCAGGGCTGTGACACCACACAAACATGTCGTACACAACACGGACATACCCAACAGGACCAGGCACAGCAGGACTTGCAATGGGAGCACAGCCATACACAACATGGGGTGTGGTGTGGTGTGGTGTGTGTGTGTATATGTGTGTTGCCATGTCCATATCTCTGCTGCCCCCCCAGTGGCTGCTCCTGGCACACACGATGCATTCCCTGGGCCAGAGCAGGCACTGTTGCCCTGGAGAGGGGGAGAGAATCCAGCTCTGTTGCCCCAGGAAAGGGCAGATTCCATCTCTTACCCCTGGGGGACAGATTCCAGCTCTATACTGCCCCCAGGCTGGAGCAGGAGTCACCCTGGGATGGGCAAATCCCACGAGGGGTGGAGCGTGATTGGGGCTCTGTTCCCCCCCCCCCCAACGGGAAGATCCCAGTTATATTACCCCTGGGGGGCAGATCCAAGCATTGGTGCCCCAGGGGAGGAGGGGAAACAGAACAGATCCTGGCTCTGTTGCCCAGGGAGTGCAGCTATGTAACCTAGCCCCTGGAGGCAGATCCAGGCTCTCTCGCCCCTGAGGGGGGCAGATCCCTGTTCTATTACCCCAGGGGGACAGATCTGGGCCCTGGTGCCCCGGGGGTCAATGAGGCACACACGCTCCAGTCTCATATATAATTTATTTCTCTCCACGCTGTACAAGCCAGGACAGGGGGGCAAGAGCAGGCGGGGGGGAGCTGGGGTAGGGGGGACCCCGCCCCCCCCAGGGAAATGCAGGGGACCTCACCACCAATGAAGGGGGCCTGGCCTTTCCAAGGAAGGAGGCAGGGCTCCTGAGGGGGGTGGGGCCCTGCCCCCCACACTAGGATGTCCCATGTCTGGGGCCATGTCTTTGGGTGATGCCTGGTGGCGGGGGAGGCAGAGCGGCACCTAGGAGGATAGAAAGAAGCAGGGTGGTTCAACACACTGCTAAGGGAAGCTTGCAGCTCCTTCCCCCCCACCCTGGGGACACTGTCAGGGGAAGCTTGAGGCCCCTGCTCCTCCAGGGCACTGCTGGGGGAAGCTTACAGCCCCTACCCCCACACTGAGGACACTGGTGGAGGAAGCTCACAGCCCCTGCCCTCCCCCCAGGGCACTGGTGGAGGAAGCTCACAGTCCCTGCACAACCCCCACAAGGCACAACTGGGGGAAGCTTGCAGCCCCTGCCCTGCCTCCCCACTGAGGGCATTGCTGAAGAAAGCTTGAAGCCCCTGCTCCTCACCCCCACCAGGGCACTGCTGGGGGAAGCTTCCAGCCCCCAGGAACGGGGGTGGGCAGTCTCACCTCCCAGGCCCAGATCCCGGTCAGACTCCAGCTTGTCACATGACTGCGCCCGGCGTGTCCTCTTGGGCTTGGTGGGGGCGGCCCGGCGGCCCCCCTCAGGTTCCCCTGCAATGGGAGAGAAAGTGATGGACCCCTTGCTCCCTCCCGCCCCAGGGCACTGCTGGGGGAAGCTTGCAGCCCCTGGTCTCCCCCACCTCCCAAGGTACCTTCTGGGTCCGGTTCCTCCAGGCGGGGGCACGTACCAGGGAGGGGTGCCTGCGGGTCCTCAGGGGTCTCGCCGCTCGCCCCCCCCTCCTCACTGCTGCGGCTCCGTCCGGGCTGGCTAGGGGGGGTCCAGCTCTGGGGCCCAGCCACTGGCTTCTGTGGGGTGGGGGAGGAGGGGGGAAGGGGTCAGGCGTTACAGCCCCAACTCCCAGCCGGGGGTACTGCTGGGGGGAGGCTTGCAGCTCTTGCCCCCTGCCTTTTCCCCTGGACCTTCCCTTGCTTCCAGCTCCTCTCACCTTTGCTGGGGCAAGCTGTGGGGTCCTCTCAGAGCCCAGGGCAGAGTCCATGACCCACTCCTCGCTCTTCACCGTGACCAGAGGGAGCACGTCTGTCTGCTCGCTGTCCCGGAAGACGCTCTCCTCCGCTGAGGGGTGGTGGGGGGAGGCGGGAGGAGGAATCAGGTCTGGAGCTTAGAGGCACTGCTGGGGGGAAGCTTGTAGCCCTGGGAGTGCTGCTGGGGGAAGCTCATAGGCCTGAGGGGCACTGTTAGGGGAAGCTCGCAGCCCAGGAGGTACCGCTGGAGAAGCTTGCAGCCCAGGGGGCGCTGCTGGGGGAAGCTTGCAGCCCTGGGGACACTGCTGGGGGAAGCTCACAGCCCTGGGGACACTGCTGGGGGAAGCTCGCAGCCTTACCGATGTCCCAGCTGGCCTCGGCTCGGCGCATGGCAGCAAAGCTGGGCTTGGAGCTCTGTGGTGGTAGGGTGGGCTTCCAGCCGCCTTGCCCTGGGGGGCGGGGACAGAGGGGGGGAGGAGTCAGAGGGTGGAGGGGATGGGGCGAAGCAGGGAGGCAGGTCTCAGGGGCAGGGCCTCCCGGGAGGCAGGTCGCGGGGGCAGGGCCTCACCTGAGTCATCCGACAAGCGGCGGCGCTCCCGCAGGCTGCCCCCGCGCTCCAGCTCTGCCCCCTAGGGGTGGCCAAGGGTCAAAGGAGGCATGGCCTCTGCTGTCAGGCCCCATCCCTCATTCCGTGCCAGGCCATGAAAGTGGGTGTGGCCTTTACCCTAAGCCCCACCCATAGACGCACCCCTCACTCACCTATAGGCCACAAGGGGGAGGTGGTGTAGCCTATGGGCACCGGCCCCACCCTCACTGCCTCTTGGCGCCACACCTAGTGGGGTGGGAGTGGGTATGGCCTCTGCCCCGGCCCAACCCCCGTCCTTACCTCTCTCTTCCCATCCAGGCTCCACCCCTTGCTCCGCCCCATCCCAGGCAGCGCAATGCCCTGCACGCGGAGGGGCTGCAGTGGCTCCACCCTCTCAGGGACAGGTGCCCGGTCACCATGGAGACCCTGTGGAGATGCAGCTGTCAAGCCCCACCCCTTAGCCCCCAGTGCCCCCCTGGCCCCGCCCCTTCCCTGCCTCCCCCGCTGGGGCAGCCCTTTCACTGGCCCACTCCCCATGCCTGGCAGGGGCATGCCCAGCCCCCAGGCCTCCAGCCCTTCCTCCTCCAGGCCAGCTGGGGCCTGGGGGTCCCTGGGGCCCATAAGCAGGGGGCCAGGTGGGCTGGGTGGGGGCGGTTCCTCGACATCTCGTTCCCCTTTGAGGCTCCGGTGCCGGCGGAAATGGAAGAAGCCTTTCCTCCTCTTCTTGTGCACAGGGGGCAGGGGGTCGGAGGGGCCTGGTCGAAGCCCACAGCCCCGTGGGGGCCGGGGGAAGCTGTGGGGGAGACTGAGGCATCAGAAAAGCTTAGAGGGGCAGATCGTGCCCCTCCCACACCACCAGCATCCCACCTGGCGTTGTCCACCAGGACCCGCCTGCCGAAGAACTCCTCTAGGCCCTCATCCAGCCGTGGCGCCGCCCCGTTCTCCTGCTGCTGGGGCTCCAGGGGCCCAGGTGTCCGAGCCTATGGAGAAGAGGTGGAGGGACAGACAGGGGAGGAGAATGGGCTTCTGTCACTTTAAGATAGATTCCTCCCCCACCCTCCTGGCAAAACAGGAAGTCCTGCCTATCTGGCTGCTGGGACTTCCTTCTTTGGAGGGTCTATTGTTTCAGGACCCTCCCACATTGAAGATGACTCCTCCCTCTTTTGAGGGGGAAACAGGAAGTCAAGAGCCCAGTGACTAGGACTTCCTGCTATGGTGACCCAGACCATTTGGCCCCTCCCACATTTAGGATGGCTCCTCCCCTTTCCCCAGGCTACACAGGAAGTTCCTTCTGCAGGAACCAGGTCTTCCTGTTTGGGAGGTCTTCCAGCTTTAAAGATGGCCCCTTCCCTAATGAAAAGAGAGAAGGAAGGAAGGAGAAAAATAAACCAATGAATGAGAAGAGGTATGAAAGGAGGAAAAGAAGGAAAACATAAAATAAGGAAAAGAATGAACAGAGAAAAAAGAATGAGGAAATGAATGAATAGAGGAGAAAAGGGAAAACGAAAGACGGAGCGAAGAAAGGGAGGAAAAAGGAAAAACAAACTAATGGAAGCTAGGAAAAATGGATGAGAAAACCATTGGAGACAGGAGTAAAGAAAGAAAATGAGAGAATGAATGAAAAGAGGCAAAAAAAATCACAAATGGCAGGGAAAATGAATGAGAAAATGAAGAAACAGACACAAAGGGAGAAAAGGAGGAATGAAACAAATGAACAGAGGGAAGAGGAAAAATAAACAAATGAGTGAAGGAGGAGGAAATGAATGAGGATAAATGACTGGACAGAACAAAGGGGAAAAGAACAAAAGAATGAATGCAGGGAAGAAGAGGGGGCAATGAACAAATGGAGGAAAGGGATGAAGAGAGGATCAAAGAGAAAAGAAGAAGAAATCAAGCAGAAAAGGAATGAATGAACCAGGAAGTGAATGAGGG